TTATCAGTGATTGTTTTGCAAGATGGAAACTAGATATCAGTGAATGAGCTAAATAAGGAGACTTCGAATTCTGTAGCATGTGTATGATTTACCTATTCAGAAAACAGTCAAGCATGTGGTTCTCAAATGTTTGCAGTGAGGTCACTTGGTGAAAAGTGTAGCTATGTCAGACAGATGCAGGTTCAGATTCCAGGACTTCCAGGACTGATGAAAGGGAAAGGGGCTTTGGAGCTAGCTCCTTAGCTCCAGGCTGCGTTGCTTCTTACCTGGCTTTGACATGAGCTGGAGGGAAGACAAATTCTTAGAGCTCTAAGTGCTTGGGGTAAGACCTTTCCCCCATTGCCTTACTCTCCAGCCGTAACTGCTGTTAACAGTTCTTACCTCTTCCACCCCATGTCACTGCCTAAAACCTGTCATCACCTGAACTCCCATGCCTCTGAGTCTCTGTGTACCTTGTAGCCTGACACTGTCCCCTACCCTCCTCAACTCCAGACACCATTTTACACTGCCTTCTGGAATGAATAGTCCATCATTAGCAAAATCTCCTGTATTTTCAATCTCCTTTCTAAATATTTCCCCCACATTCTTGCTATAGTAGACTCAGCTCTCCCAGGAACATATAGTTTTCCTTAGAGTTCTCTAAAGTGGTAACTGGTTTCTCTCTCATACATGTTATACCACTGGATGTGGAGATATTGTCAATGTCTTGATGTCTTCCTTCCATCTCTCTTCAATTTCAAGACCATATTTTTTTTTCCTGTCTTAAAAATTCTCAGCGTTAAGCTCAATCTATTAGATACCTCTATCTTGCACTACCAGTTGCAGTCCTGTGCAGACCAGTGAGGTACTTTCTTTACTCATTGAAGACTTAAACTATCTTACTCTCACTCTCACTCTCTCTGACACTGCTTCTATTAAAATATTATATATATTTATAATATATATATTTTAAGCTATTCTTCAGTTTCTAGTCTCCTCTCCTTCAACAAGGATGATTTCTAGAATGTTGGTTCTCAAAATGTGGTTCCTTTGCAAACATCATCAGCATCTGGCAACCTGTTATAAATGTGAATTTCTAGATAACATCTCAGACTACTGAGCCCAAAACTCTGGGGGCTGGAGCCCAGGATCTATGTTTTAAGAAGCCCTTCAGGTGATTCTGATGAATATGCCAGTTTCTTAGATCTTGTCGTTACTGACAACTTTCTCTGAGACCACAATTTGAGTCTACAGGGTTTTCGCTACTACTCATCCATCTTAAGTCCTTACTTTCCCTTTACCAGCCAGACATTTGAGTACTCCTGGACTCTTCTCTTTCACATACTATATCCAAAGAGTCAACAAATGCTGTCAGCTATACCTTCAAAATACGTGTGGCATCTAACTTTTAACCTCCACTGCCATCATTCCAGTCCAAGCATAACCATTTCCCACCTGGAGTATTGCAACTGCTCTTGTATGGTGGCCTTTGACCCTACGTTCTCTACTTTCTACAAGGCAGCCAGAGAGTTTGTTTCAATACCTAAGGTTATGTGGCTTCATTGATTGAAATTCACCATGTTTCACCTCTTACTGTACAAAAGCCAAAGTCCTTGCAAATGTCTACAAGGCTTTTGGGTGATCTGTCCTTTCCTGGCCAGGAAGTCATGCCCACTTTTGCCCTCCCTCTCTCCCACTACTAGGGATCTTCATTTTAATCTTTAGAATGTATTATATTACCATGTGATATACCCTTGTTTCTTTCTGTCTTGTGCCATTTGAGTGGAAGCTTCACAAGGGCAGAGGCTTTTCTTGTTCACTGACAGAGCCTCAGTTTCTGGAACCCTGCCTGATATACCTAGCAGGCATGTAGTTATTTGTGAATAAATAAAGGAGTGAATATAGGAAGAGAAATAAATAAAAGTTGTTTGTATGTGATAACACTGTCTTTATTGGGACTGCCCCTGCTTGAGAAGTAAAGCAGGGTATTCCAATAAATTCACCAGGTAAATAAATTTAATCAGGAAATTTAATCTGACACTTGGCTTTTGGGCTTTAAGTAAGTTTCTTTTTCCTGTTGTGTTTCAGTAAAAGTAAACTCTAGTTTATTTTTAGTAAGCTGAAAGTAAGTTTAGTCATTCTTGGTTAAAGGACAGCAATATTATCCTTTATGGTGTTTTTTTAAAACCCAATCCAGAATCACACATTGCATTTAATTTTCATGTCCTTAGTCTCTATTAAAGGTGCTATGCTTTATATTAATAATTAGAGTAATGAAGGATAGAGTTTAAGGATATATAAATATTTTGACCCCAACTGACTGTCACTGGATGGCTTTAGTGCGCATTGGTGATTCTTACCTGAAACAATAATTATTATGATGACTGGAAATAGTGATTTTTCTCCCTTTTAATTCTTCTGTATTAATTACCTTAATATTATTCTACTATAGAACAGAATGTTCTCTTCTTGTGTTTTGTTTGTTTAGTGTCAGTATTACTCATGGAGTTGGTTGTTATTCAATTCTGTATTGTCTCAGCTTGGGGTCTTTCATCAGAGTCCTTTCATGTAAATAATATAAGGATGAGCAATAGAGAAACAGAGTAAAGTGTGAGCAGAGAAACCCTACTCTGAGACAAATTTCAGAGAGGTGAACTCTGTTGTTGATTAAGAGGCTTCAGGCACTGCATGGTGGCTCACGCCTGTAATCCCAGCACTTTGGAAGACTGAGGTGAGTGGATCATGAGGTCAGGAGATCAAGACCAGCCTGGCCAAGATAGTGAAACCCTATCTCTACTAAAAATACAAAAAAAAAAAATTAGCTGGGTGTGGTGGCACATGTCTGTAACTCCAGCTACTCAGGAGACTGAGGTGGAGAATTGCTTCATTCCAGGAGGTGGAGATTGCAGTGAGTCGAGATCACGCCACTGCATTCCAGACTAGGCGACAGAGCGAGATTCCATCTTAAAAAAAACACCAAAAAACCAAAAACAAAAAAGGCTTCATTGAGGAAGTGTTTGAGTGAACTGTGAAAAGTCATAAAATTTTGACAAAAGTGGGGATGGGGTGGAGCATAAAGAAAAAAGTGTCTGAACAAAGGAAGGCTCAGCAGACTTGGAATTTGGCAATAATACAGTGGTTCTGGACCTTGATGAGGAAGATGAAATGGGACATAAAAACCCTCTGCACTTAGCTTCATTTATTTGCTCAGGCAGGTCTCACTGCCCAAAACTTCCACTTCTGCTGTTTTGCTATAGAGTGGGATGAGGGGTAATGAGGGAAGGAATTTTAGGGAGTGAAAATAGCACAAGCCAAAAGTCCAGCTCAGATACTCCCTTCTTTTGAAACCCTATCCAGATCCCTAATAAGGATTAACCACCTTCTCTCACATACTCTTTTGTACTTTGTGCTTCTCTGTTAACAAATCTATGTTTTGTGCCGTCTGTATTTGTGGATACATCTTCCTCCTTTAAAAAAAATCTTAATTATATCTTAATCCCTTGGCCTTTCTTCCCAGTACTTGGCACAAATGCTCAATAAATGTTTCTTTAACATGTGTGACAGAGAAAGGAGAGGAGAGTGATTGGTTGGGATTGGAGCAGGAGGGCTCTGAATGTCATTTTAAAATGGGTTTGGGCTCACTGTTCAGGCAGCAGTGAGCCTCAGTCGCCTTTGAACTGTGCAGCACTGATCAGAGCTGCAATGCCAAAGGATGCAGTGGAAGGGGAGGTCAGCCAGCATGCCTGTGCACCAGCCCCAAGTCAGAGCACGTCAGTGGGAGAAGGGAGAAGGCATGGGTGCAGGTAACCACAATCTTACAATTCTGAGACCCCATTCAAATGTAGCAAGGAAAAAGGAAGACATTGAGCACGGATTTGGGGTTTCTAGCTTGGGTGAGGCTGACGTAGGCTTCTTATCAAGAAGTGTCCTAGGCAGTTTGACTGGGAATGTTTAAGAAGTTCATCATGACCCTATCTCTTCTTCATCTAAAACTTTCCCTAAAATCAAAACAGTATGTCCTGTTAAAAGATTTTATTGTATTAATTATGGTGAGAAATGAAACATTGTCTCTACTTGAGATATGAAACACTGGCTCCTTGTAGTGGAGAGTTTTCATTTGTCTTTAATAATGGCTTTTATTAAAAGTAGATTTTAATAACTGTTTCTTTAATCTTTAAACGTGGCCCTCTGAGAGCAGCTTATTATAAAAGAAACGGTTGTCGGCTTTCTTTTGGCTCCTCAGTCCCTCCTGCCCCTTCCTAACAACAGAAAATTTGCTTTGCACCTGCTCCAACTGGGTTCGAAGAGATAAGCATCTTGCAAGCCCAGAAAATTGTAGTATCAAATCTCAGCCCCAACTGTGAGGCAGCACTATCATCGAATCCCTGCTGAGAGGCGATGCTTTCCCAATTCCCCAAAGAGTTCTTTCTCCCCTGGCCCCTTTTCAGGCTTGAACTCTGACCGAAACCCTCTTTTTAACTCCCAGCATGCACTGCACTTGATGCTGACACTGACCCATCCCTGCTTCCTCTGTTCTGCCCTGGACTCATCAGTAGGTCAGGCGTTGGTAGCCCTGGGGTCACTGGGGTGCCCAATTCCAATAATGAGCACATTTAGCTAAGGAGAGGAAATGTACCCTTCTATTTGTTACAGTCCATTGCTTTTTTCCAAAAACAAATGCTAAAAGAACATTTGATATATTGTGGTTTGGTAAATATACATACACATTGCCTAATATTCACAAAGTTGCCTCTTTTTTTTTTTTGGCTCATCTTCCTTCATAAATGTATTGTTCTAACTCATTTATTTTAAGAGGGATATGCCTATTTCACAGCTAGGAAAATGTAAATGTTTTAAAATAAAGTTATATTCAAGAATACTCTTGCAAGAATTTCAAATAAAAATAGCAAATACTATTTAAATGTGTATAACATTTTAACAGAATTGTGTGTCATTTTAAAGGGAAAGAAGAAAAATGCTGACCAGCACTTTACAACTTTGTGTTTAAAATTTCTTCTTAGGCTTTCCAAACAGACCGAAGTCATTAAAAATATTCCTTAACCCCCAGAGTCACAAAAAAGAAGCTACCCATGTTTATCATGAGAAGGTTGAACCTCTGTTGAAGCTTGCAGGAATAAAAACTGATGTAACAAGTAAGTAATTTTCAGAATATAATTTCGCCATTTACAAAAACATACAAAAGCAAGATAACCTGAATTTTTTCTTAAGGCAAACTTGGGAAACTATTTGTAATATCCACAGTGTTTTTATGTCTTCCATAACCTATTGTAGCCAGTTCCAGAGTTATTATTTATTTTTTATTGTGTTATTTTTATTAGCATATTAATATTTTTTCTTTGAACTTTTTCAGATTTTTTTTCAGACCTAAACAATTGTCAGATGTAATTCTAAAGGAAGCTGTATACATGTTTACATCTTCATTGAGATGTTTGTTATTTGCACATTAATTTTGCAGTTAGGCAAGCAATTGATTTTTTGCTCACTTATATATTTGATGTCCTTCCATGGAATTCTTCCTTAGGTTGTTTTCGTTCTGACTCTGACCCCTGCTGGTTAGGTCAAAACTAAGCATTAAACTGCTGATTTTATTAATAGATGAATTTAGAGATTCTAGAAGCTTAAATTCATGGTCTAAACTAAGAAATGTACTTAGGTTTGTGGCAGGGAAAATGGAAACTTGTTAATACAAAAATTAATAGATGACTAGCAATATCCTTTCTGATTTTTTGACTTCGGTGACCACATTCCTTTGTTTCTTTGAGACTTATTTTCATATGGTGGGGAACTGAGTAGAAGAGTCGATGCTATGGAGAATTGCAACTTCTCTAGCTTTATTTCTATGTGACTTCACTAACAGTGAAAATTTGCAATAAATTTTAATTGATGAAAAATATTATAAAATAAGCCTACTTAAGGGACAAGCCCAGACTTCACTTGGAATTTCCTAGTCCCAGTTACAAATTCCTGGGGAAGGGATTCACAGTGATGTGGCTTTACTCAGCTGTAAACAAAGGAGATAGGTTTCGAGACATAAATACTGCCTGGAAGCCTACACCTAGTGACTTGATGGATTGAGGTAGAAAAAAGTTCCTAAAAAGCGTAAGTTTCTTGGGATGTCAGCCTCCATGAAATGCATCTATGACTATAGAGGTTAAAGAGAAACTACCATGAAAAACCCAAGAAGAATGTCTGAATTAAAATAAAGTTATAGTGAAAAAGTTAACCTTTCATGTTTGTGACTTTTGGCTTATTTAGAGGTGATTTATAAGGAAGAGAGAAAATTCAGATTTATGTTTCTTTTCTACGGAAGATTTTCAAAGATTGGCTAAAGGAAAAGTTTGAGATTTGTATTAGGGTGAGACAATTAAAAGTTGAATAAACTTATTGGCATATCAATGACTATTTTGTGTCATTGATTTTTTTTTTTTTTTTTTTTTGAGACAGAGTTTCGCTGTTGTTACCCAGGCTGGAGTGCAATGGCGCGATCGGCTCACCGCAACCTCCGCCTCCTGGGTTCAGGCAATTCTCCTGCCTCAGCCTCCCAAGTAGCTGGGATTACAGGCACGCACCACCGTGCCCAGCTAATTTTTTGTATTTTTAGTAGAGACGGGGTTTCAACATGTTGACCAGGATGGTCTCGATCTCTCGACCTCGTGATCCACCCATCTCGGCCTCCCAAAGTGCTGGGATTACAGGCTTGAGCCACCGCACCCGGTCTTGTGTCATTGATTTTACGTGTAACTACTACAAAGCAGCTTGACATGGATATTGCTATATAGTATTCACTTCAGGGATCTCATTGTATGCTTGCTCTGTGTTCAACATTGTGCAGGATGCAAGATGAATAAGCTATCATACTTGCAATTGAATGACTTTTCAGGTTATTAGGGATTCAGATATATACTTAAAACTCTAATAGTTGGGGTATACATAAAAGAACTCTAATGTCTCAGGTGATATTTTGATGGGAAGGTTCAAGGAAAGCATTTGAATTAGGCAGTTTTTAAGAGGCAGAGAAAACAAAAAGTGAGGGGAGGATGTCAGGCTAGCAGGCAGTACTGTAAAAGTGGTGGTGGTGGGGAGTGTGTGCGTGTCTGTGTGTCTGTGTATGTTACACCCATACATCTTGAGAGTTTGTTCCATAACTGTTCTACTTTCCTCAGTTTTGGCATTATCTGAAATCTTATTCTATCATCATAAAATAGCTGCCAGTGAATTTGATCCTTTCTTATTAATATCCAGTGGGATGGGGAGAGGTGTAAATATGTGTGTGAGAGAGACCCAACATGCTTTAATCCTGACGATGATTTAAAATATCAGTTTGGGCACAGATACTGTATTAGCACATTCAATCTGGAATAATCATTTCTTTAACCATCAAGAGACTTCCTAGAGACTGAGGGTAGGTCCACTTTTCCTGAAGGCTGAAATGCTTCAGTTGAATCTGGATTCTGTTAGGGAGAAGAAAGGGCAAAATGACTTCTAGGAGGGCTTCCGACAATGTATACTTTAGGAGGTGTAAGTCCGGGTTATGGATGGATCCTTATACTACACTCTGCAGTTTACTCATCGTGCATTCATTGATCCACAGTTGGTGTAGATTTTTGTTTATCATAGTGTTGTAATCTGGTTTGGCAAAGATGACTCCACCAGCAGAATTAAAATTAAAAACGAAGAGGGAAAAAGAGATTGGAGAAAATAAAACTGATATACAAGGCCTGAACTAAGGCAGAGGAAATCATCAAAATGTGCTTTCCTTCTTAATTTTATTGGAGACAAAATTATGTTCTAAGGTTTTTTCTCTAAATTTGTGAATATTACCAAGTACTATATTTAACACAAAACAATAGAATATTACCTAAAGCAAATTTAGAATTTACTTATATTTGTTGATAATGGCTAATTATTAGCTGCCTAACACTCCTCCTACAGGCAAATGTATAAAATTACATCCTTTGCTTATGAAGCCATTTTAGTATGCGTATTGGCTCAATATTTATGAAAAAAATATTTCTTGAATAAATCTGCAAATATTTGAAAAGTGTTAGTCTTCCTGCCTATCTTGCAGTGTTATTTTTGTCATTGAAATAATATATTTGAAACTTTGTATATTATAAAATACTACAGAAAGATGGTCATAATACTATTTCAGTTTCAAAAATTATGTCATAGTACGATTCAATTCATACTTTTTTTTTGAAAGAAAATGTATATGAAAGAGTAAAGTAAAAAGAGGCCATTTCTTCTGTATGTCCAGTGGGACTATTGTTTTAATGTATTCTTGTGTGCATTGGTGAGGCTAAATGGAACTGGAATTACAAAATAAACCCTATATGATGATGAGTTCATCAGGAAATAGTGCTATATAAATATGAAGTATAATTTGAACAATTACAGCTAGATATATACACTATAAGATGCTGTAATTTTTTCATAATTTTTTTTAAAAATGGATCTTACCACATTAATAAAAATATACTTTTTTCATTTTGGCTTGTGCCAAAATCATAACTACTTTTGAATATAGATTGGCATCTTTTGAAATATTTGTGCTAAAGTTGCATTTCTACTCTGCTACCACCATCAATATAGTATCTTATCTAATAATGGCATCATAAAAACTTCTGGGAGAACCTGGAAACAATTATTTTTTTCTAATTGCCTATTGGTATACAAATCAAAGAGTATGAATGATAAGCCCATCCTGACATATGATATCATTTCTCTTCTAAAAGCAGGTTTTAGAGATTGTACCATTAAAGGTGTGTGAGGTATTTTGAGGATCAGAGATCCATAGGATAATTTATAGAACAATAGAGTCAAAAAGTTAAGTCAGCAGAGAAACCAGACTGAAAAGAACTTTCAAGGCTATGTGGTTCAGTTTTCTCCTTGTGGGTGGAACACAGGCCTGTATGACACTCAGCTTTGATTTAGCCACCTACACTAGAGGCGGAGTATGTTGTCACTGGACAATACTGTTTGACAAGATTCTTCTGAATGTTCAAAGTTACTGTACATTTGGGCAGATTAGAAAAGGCACCTCCTCTATGCTGACTTACAAAAAAGTGCCCTGTCTTCCAGGCTAATTCAGCCTAAGATCACCGCTTGTCAATCAGGAGCACTAGCTAGATCGCAAATCCATCCTTCCTTTGGCCAAGTGCCTTTCTGCTAGGCATAAACTGTACAAACTGAGAACTTGTGAGCTGACATTTTCCTGTTTGTAATTTTTATCTACTAGAGTTAATGTTATTTATTTTAGTAATATGAAGTAAATGTGCCCCATCTATTGGAAAAGAGTCATTGAGTTATTTGAAGACAGATATCTGTCTGCCCCTCATCTCTTGGTCATGATAGCTACTTCCATCTCCTTTGGTTACTTTTTGTATGAACAGAGCTGCTAGACCTTATCATGGTCATTATCATTATCATAGTCAGAGACATTTATCTAAAGGAAATCTTGATCTGTGCCAGTTCAGGGCTCTCGAGAGTGCCGAAGTCATCAGATAATTTTAACTCCTGGGCAGAGAGCAGTGTTTGTTGTCATCTTCTTCTTTCCCCTATAATCATGTTTCTAACCTGTTTGTAGTGTTTCTCCGGTTGTTTTTGGCTCTATTTGAATCCTTCCATTCCTTGGAAATGCCTCTTGTCATTCTAAATCTCACCCAGCAAAAAGCTAGGCAATCTAATGAAACTGTGTCACAAAAGATTCCAGTAGCCTGAGGCATCACTCCTTCCAGTTTTACCTGCATTTCAATAAAAAGAATCTGAAAAGTAGATGTTCATGTGTCATGTCTAGCTCAAGAAAAAGATAATTCTGTGTCAAAGATTCTGTTTATTACCTCTTAAATAATTTTGGATGTAGACAGCCAATCCCATTCCCAACATTCAGATGTGAGTTAGGATGTTGGAACTTGATGACTGGGAACAATGAAGACTCATTAATGGGGTTTATACAAAAAAGTGATATAGTTAAATATGTATCTGAAAATGGTTATTCTGGCTAGAGTTGGGGAGAGGTTTGAGGGAGACAAGATAAAAGGCTATTGTAGTACAGGTTGAGCATCCCTTATCTGTAAGGGTTGGGACCAGAACTGTTTCAGATTTAGGATGTTTTTAGCGTTTGGAATATTTACATTATACTTAACCAGTTGAGCATCCCTAATTTGAAAATCTGAAATTGAAAATGCTCCAATGAGCATTTACTTTGAACATCATGTCAGTGCTCCCAAATTTTTAGATGTTGAAGCATTTTGGATTTTAGATTTTCTGATTAGGGATACTTAACTTGTCTACACATAAAAGATAGTGATCAGATCTAGGGAATTGGCTGGTAGAAATGGAATGCTATGGCATAATTCAAACACAGAAACAACTGGCCTTGGTCGTGGAGTGATTCTGGATACTGGAGGAAAGAAAGAAGTAATTTTCCTGTCTTGGAGTGGATGATGGAACAGAAAAAGAACAATGTGTTTGAGAGAGAATATATTTGAAGCTATACATAATGGATTCTGTTTTGAGCTTACTAAGTTTGAAGTACCTACAGAACAGGAAGAAAATGACATTTCAGTATTGTATCCTGTGCAAGAATTTTATCACCAAACCAAGAAATGTTTTCTTATGTCCAAATCAAATTTCACCTGATTTTATTTCAGCTGATTTCCTCCTCAACATTCAGTATTAACCTTAAGACCTTCTCTTATCTTGTCTTCCTGAGGAAATTGCATTTGCGTTGAAGAGGGGAGGGGGAAATACGCAGCAGTGGGAACTGTGTTGGAAGACCTATGAACTGTGAAGACTTTACATCTCCTATTTAGAAAGAGCATAGGTTGGCAGTTTCATAGGAAAAGGCAAATGGACGAAAGAAGAGGCTAGGTTACACTTTTTGAAATTCCATTTGTCTAGCAACCCTCTCTTTATGTTTGTTTGGAGAGGGATGATTTGAATCTGGCTTTCACTGATTCCAGGGCCCACAATACTGTCTAAATACATATTTGGTTCTTTCTAATCTAAATAGTAATCCAGATCACTCTTTATCCTTTTGCCTGTTTTTAATAACCACCTATTACTTCATATTATAGATTCATTGTTTCATTTGCATATATTGTCTATCTCTAGAATGCAAATTCCCGAAGCCAAAGTCCTATTCATTTTGTTCATTTTTCTAGTGTATTTTATAGATGTGGGTAGTCAGATTCTTTTCATTTTTTTTCTTTGTTCCAGATCTTTAATTTTATTGAACTTTTACAATGTTACTTTAAAAATTACTATTTTCAGACAGCTTACATTAGTGTATAATCAAATTCCACCCACAATTTCAAAAAAAAAGACTATTACAAATTTAAAAATAAAATAAAAATAGCATTTCAATCATAACACAGTTTTTTAAAGCTCATTATTTATTGGATTTGAAAAACTTTACCAACATAAGCTTTGGTATAAAAGCAAGACTTGGTAAACTGATTCTTAGCATAAATATTTTTTCATAATATTCTTAATTATTTTTAATGTGTATATGTAAGAAGTTTTATTATTTTGCATTTTAAGGCTGCAACTACTTGCTGTAGTTATAAGTGAATGATCAGCACACATTTTCTATTACAACCTTTCAAGTTTATTAATATATGTAGTTTTATTATGGCTTTCTTCTGATTAAATTTACTATAGAGAGGTTTTATTCATGTGAGTGTTAATGGCATTTTGAATAAGCTATGGGAGAATTACAATGTAACACTGCTGGATACAGAATGATTCTTTTAGACACCAAGACTAATAATTTTTAACAGTATCTAAAAACATTGTAGGAAAAGCTTGAACCATGCTGGCACCAGGGATAGACAGGCATGAAAGATTAATGTAATCTTGCATATAATGACGCACATTCTTACAGAGAAAATCCATCTGCAATGTCATGTCAGTCAGCAGAAATCTTTGATGGGTGGATACAGCTGGGCTGTCTCTTCTGGCAGAGCTGCCCTGGAAAATGCTAAATGTGGTCGTGATGCTTGGTGCCATCTGCAGTGTGCCCGTTTATCCTGTCTTCACTGGCATTTACAATACTGCATAGGGCATCAGTGACTGTGGAGACAGCGATATGCAGTGACAGATTCATTTCCTCAGAGGATCTGGGCTCTGATGGGCCTGTGTGCCACCCTCTTTCTTGGGTCTGGGTTTCTTATCATTGGTGTTGGCTTTACATTGAATTTTCACATCCAACAGTTTCAGTACACATTCTTCTGGTTTGTAAATCTTACTAACCTTTCGACTAATTTATTCATGTAAGGTTGCCAAACCGATTTAACATTGACTGTTCAATGCCAGCTAATATGCTTTATTTTCAAAATACTGCTGCTCCTAAGCCTCTGATTTAAAGGGCATGTGTCTTATTTAGGGAATACTAAACAGACAGGCACCAAGATAAATTCTGTAACCTCTATGTGTGGGATATCCCAAATGACTTATGTAGTTGAAACAAATATATGGTCTTTTACCTAAAGCTATAAAACACATCAGGCCACTATACTTAATCTTCTTGCCCATGATTAAAATATAAATATTCAAGAATAAATGTTGTTTTAAGAATTGGCCATATGTTTAGGCCATATGTTTATCATATTATTTTGCCAGAACAAGTTAAAAATTGTAGATCATTGTTTAAAACTTTCACTTTGTGTATGTCTGTGTGTGTGTGTGTTTTTTTTAATAGTAATGGAATATGAAGGGCACGCTCTGTCACTGCTCAAGGAATGTGAACTCCAGGGATTTGATGGGTAGGTTATATTATTAATCAGTATGTATCATATAGTTTATGTATTAAATGCTTTCACTAGTTTTTAGACATATATTTGAAACCTAACATTTACAGCTCTTTCTTCTTCATATCTATGTAATAATAATTAATGATGATAATATGACATGATCATCTACCTCTCAGGATCTGGTATAGGAAAGCAATGAGAGGAATCTAGTTATAAGTACTGGGAAATGACAGTGTACTACCCTACACTTACTAATGTGCATACATTTACATCTATAATTCTTGGCTTTTACCATGTATCTAAAAAAGCACTGATGGATGTTATACTGGCCACATGGAGGAACTATTTGATGATCCTCTTTTGCAGATTAATTGATAGGTTTAATAGCTACCCATTAGTTAATTTGTCTGTGATAGATTGAGAGTAGATATTTTATAAATGCAAGAAAATACATATATTATTTTCTGAAATAATAAGAAATAATTTTAATTATCTCATAATGTAGTGACTATAATATAGGTATGTTTTTCACAGTGGGCATTAGAAACCATTGTTTGCAATGCATTGGAGTGTACAGAGATTCTTCACTGGCATGCAAGCATTAGAACCAAGGCAAGTGATATAAATTTCACCGCCATTTTTTAAAATTAGGTGAATCAATTTGCTAAAGTGTTCAATTGATTTGTAAGACTAAAACTTATTATATTCCTCTAGGGAAGATTTTTTTCCAAGAGTAGATATTTGAGAGTTTAAAAAGGTGACAAGAGTGTGAATTATTTGTGTTACATGGTGATGAGCAGGGGCAAAGACCTGTAAGGTCAGGAAAGGCAGTTAGTTCTGTACTTTCACCAAAGTGAAAGGCATTAACCTTCCCAAATAATGATTTGAATGTGTTGGGGAGGGAAGCGATCCATCAAAGTGGAGCATTGGCAGGGCGGTTTTTCAGAAATGCTTATTCATTTATTTATTTGGATGAGGAGAAAACAATAGTTGGTGAGAAAGAAAATTTGGTAAGTAAAACATGATTTTTTCAAAAGGAACTTAGTTGAGGGAAGTAAACTTCATAGCAATGTTAGGTAAGTATTGGGAATCAAAAATGCGGGGTAGGAGACGACTTCAGAACCTTATACTTAGAGGTAGACAAAAACATTAACAGGCTTCGTTTAGAAAATTGTCCCACAAGTATACAATTTAAGAAAAGTACTTAGGGGAATCATGCCCACTAACTACCTATTCTAACATACTACATAGTTCCTCACTAGGCCTCATGAGTACATTAAGGTAGCTGCACTGCAAATGAGTCCCTGCTTCAAAACTTGATTAGATAAAGAAGGAGAATAAAGATATCACAAATATTAAACTTGGTCTTACACAGCAGCATTATAAAGTGTTCTTTTGAATGTAGTATCTATTAATATGTTTTACTGGTATTTGTACTGGGTAATGGGATGAAAAGAATTTTGCAGAATGAAGAAAGACTATTCTTGAAGTATAGTATAGTAATATTTTTCTCTTTACTGGAACATCTTTAATCCTTATTTATTTTTTACAGTAAATTTAATCCTTGTTTATTTTTTATAAATCCTTATTTATTTTTATAGTGGTTATTTTTCAGTGTAACACTAAAAGATTATAGATTTTTCAGTTATAACTCACATTTTAAAAACCAAATAGTTTGGCCTAAACATTATTTGAATTGAGTTAGGTTATGTAACTGTTCCTAAACTCTATGGCATGTTGATTTATTTCAGACTTACAGTAATTTCAAATTTCTTCTGAAAGTCATCTGTGTTCTAAGATTCTTTAATTTGGGGGTCCCCAACTCCCAGGCTGCAGACTGGTACCAGTCGATGGCCTTTAAGAATAAGGAGGCACAACAGGAGGTGAGTGGCAGGAGAGGGAACATTTCTGCCCGAGTTCCACCTTCTGTCAGGTCAGTAGCAGCATTAGATTCTCATAGGAATGTGAACCCTATTGTGAACTGGGCATGCGAGGGATGTAGGTTGCACACTCTGGGTGAGAATCTAATACTTGATGATCTGAGATGGAACAGTTTGATCCTAAAACCATCCCTTTCCCACCCTGCCCCCCAGTCTGTAGAAAAATTATCTCCCCACCAGACAAGTCCTTGGTGCCAAAAAGTTTGGGGACCACTTTAAATAGTTATTTATTTTTGTGGGTTTAGTTTTCCCAGTAGAAGTTGATATGGTCGTTGGGGTCATTATCTTAAAAAAAAAATGGCACTTTTAAGTCACTGTACTTAGAATTACATAGAGAGGTATATGAGGAGAATAATATAGTTTCTTCAGGTATTTCAAAGGAACAATTCTCTTGAAAGTAAAATTACTTGAAAAATGGAATATTCTACATTGGTGAGTTTTCTATTCCTGAACCTGCTCTAAAGAGTGGCTATAGGAAAATTTTGGGGGAAATTTATAGAAAAGGTACAGAGATGGGAGAAGGTTAACCCCAAAATGCTATGACATTCTGATGAGAGACAGACTCATATTTCTTTAAGAACTTTAGCCTGAAGCACCTCCATCTGATACTAGTGGAACTATTAATAGGAAGTGATTAGGAAATCACCTAATAATTTGGTTTCTAGATACAGGCTGAAGAAGTTAAGAGCCAAGAAAGATTCTGTGTTTAGTATTTAGTAAATCAAAATGATTTGGTAAGTAATGTTTAAGAAATGCTATTTGCTAAGATTCTGGAGTTTTTTTTTTAAATGAGTTACATATGTTTCTATGAGATGTTTTGTGACATTTCTAAACCCAGAAGAAACAGTGTATCAGTACTTATGACATCTGGCTCTCCACTGCTGTGTGTCCTAGGAAACACTCTCAGATACAGTTAAACCTTGTAGGAGCTTCAGATTTATATTGCTCCCAATTTTACTGGCATGAGTAAGTTTATGAAGGAAAATAAAAGAATATCAGCTGCAGAGACTTGAAGCAGTAACACTTGCATTTATAAGTGTGATAATAGTTTTAAAAATCTGTAGATTTTATGCAATTATAAATATATGAATTCTTTGCTATTAATATTTGTTTCACAATTTAAAAAAATTTGTTGAATTACATTTTTTTTCTCTTGTTCATTTCACCATTAATTAGGCCTGTAATGATCTAGACATTATTTGGATTATATTGACATTTTACTAGATAGAACATATCTGTATTACTTAGCAAGATTTAAAAAAATCTATTGTCCAGAAAGGAAAGAACTGTGCATCAGAAATTCAATATTATAGTCAACATTTCATAGATGATGGGTTCATAGATGTAGAAAAACATCCATTAAAAAATCTTTATCACTCGTTAAAAACGGACATATATTATCACTCAGTTTTACTTTTCTAGACAAAATCATTCTGTTTGGAGCCATGGCAAAGAGTTTACTTATTTTAAAAACAAGATTTGTTACATGCAAAGGATTAGTTACTCTAAGATTTATGTTTTAGAGTGACTCAAGAGTGATTAACTCTATAAATGATTGAATATTTTGCTTTTTGCCCTTCTTGTAGTATTTAGATTCCTGTGACATTTTGGTAAGAAGCCGTCGATGAAAAATGCCAAACTGTAAAATATTGCCAAACTGTAAATTATTTAAAGAGGTTTATTTTGAGCCAAATACGAGTGACTGTGGCCTAACGCAGTCTGAGTCCTGAGAACATGTGCCCGCAGTAGTCGGGTTACAACTTGGTTTTATACGTTTTAGGGATACAGAAGTTATAGACAAAGACGTAATATATGTAGGGTATACATTGGTTTGGTCCAGAGAGGAGGGACATCATGGTCCTGGTTGGGAGGGGAGCTCACCGGTCATAGGTAGATTCAGAGATTTTCTGGTTGTCAGTTGGTTGAAAAGTTAAGCTTTTTTGAAAGATTTGAAGTCAGCACAAAGAAATGGTTGAGTTAAAATAAATGGGGTTGTGTAGGCTGGAAACAGTGGTTCATGCCTGTAATCCCAGCACTTTAGGAGGCCAAAGAGGGAGATCACCTGAGGTCAGGAGTTTGAGATCTGCCTGGCCAACATGGCAAAACCCCATCTCTACTAAAAATACAAAAAATAGCCAGGTTTGGTGGCATGCACCTGAAGTCTCAGCTACTCAGGAGGCTGATGCAGGAGAATTGCTTGAACCATGAGGCAGAGATTGCAGTGAGCTGAGATCACGCCATTGCACTCCAGCCTGGGCAACAGAGCAAGACTCATTCTCAAATAAAATTAAAAATAAATATGAGGATAAATGGGGTTGTGGAAGCACAGGTTCTTATTATGTAGACGAGGCCTCTAGATATCAGGCTTCAGAGAGAATAGATGGTCAGTATCTCTTGTTAGACCTTAAAAGCTATCACACTCTTAGTTTAACCTCTCCCGGATCAGGAAAAGACCTGGAAAGGGAAGGAGATTCTCTATAGAATGCAAATTTCTCTGCAAATGATGGCTTAGCAGGACCATCTCAAAATACGTCAACAAAATACATTTTGGCATAAAATAGTTTGATTTCCTCTAGGGCCTGCTATCTTTTATTTAATGCTATGCCAGAGTCAGGTTGGAGTTGGGGATCTTATTGCTACAAAGTCTGTTTTGTCAGTTTTGTGATCTATATCTTAATGTCAGTGCTGGTCAGTTGCACCTAAACTCCAAAAGACAAGAAGGTATAAGGAGGCATATCCAACCTCCGTTCCTGTTACAACCTGAACTAGTTTTTCAGATTTTCTTTGGGATCTTCTTGGCTAAGAAGGGAGAATCCATTCAGTTAGTTGGAGGACTTAGAATTTTATTTTTGTTTTTCAAAACTTATTTCCTATATTAAGTCACTGTACCTGAACAAGTTCTTAATGATTGAATAGTTATTAACATAAATAAGTTCACTTAATTTCACATTTGTTCTACTGTTAAACTGTTTTTCAAAATAAAATTTTCGTAAGGCTATTTTACTAGGTTTCACATATAGAAAAGGTATCTAATATATTGAATAATATTGCAGTTTCTAAGGCCAAATTGTCTTATTTCAAACCCCTGTTTTATTACTTCCTACTGGTACAATCTTGAAAAAGTTACTTAATCTTTCTATGCTTTAGTTTCCTAATCTGTAAATTGAGGGTAATAGTACCTATTGCATACAATTATTTTTCCGCTTAAATGAGTTAATACATGGAGAATGCTAAGGAAAATGTCTGATATATAGTAATTGCTAAATATTTCTTTATTGTTATAATTGTCATTTGTATTAGTTTCAAAGATTTAACACAGAATGTATTATGACAAAACTTCAGATGTTTCAGAACATGCTCATAGAGAGGTCACCTCTAATAACTCTAGCAATATGGATGATGCTATAATTGTACTCAATATTCTAGGAGTTAAGTGTTGCCATCTTATGTATATAAGGGTTAGGTTCTTTGGTGCTAAATTATATGACTTCATAGAGTCTTTTTGGTTACACCCATATATCAGCATGAGGACAGGCATGGATCAAGAGTTACATTTAATTTCATAGATTAGAAATCTCATAGAGATTTTTGAAATCAGGTAAGTTTCAAATCAAACCTTGGTTTTTTCATTTATGAAGATGCTGCTGTTACCTATTTCGCAGACTTCTGAGGATATAATATAAATTAATAAACATATTGCCTGATATATAGTTTGTCCTTAGTAAATATCATTCCTTTTCTCTGAATAGGTCACGTTGTGAACCTCTGGAATTAGTTTAGACATAAGAAAAAAATGCACCTAATCAAAAATGACCTGAGTCATATCTTGAGTCTTCTAATGAGTGTAGACTTAAATATCCAGGCTATGTGGAGCTAGTGGGATGAGGAAGATGGGGACTAGAAGGGCAGATGGTGGGAACCAACTGAAAAGACACTTTCAGCCTCTCATCACCACCCTCCAGAGCTTCCTAAACTTAGAGAACCAATAACTATTGCTGGCTGTGGTCCATAGGCAGTTTTGTTGGAAATACAGTGTTTTAAAATGTATTGAATGCTAGTTGCTAATATTTACAAATTGGGAGACTCAGCCTTAAATCGGAATCTCTGGCTTCTCTAGAAAAACCAGATCTGGTTCCCTTAGGCCTCCCACGTGATATGAGCGGGCCATAGCGATGAAGCAGCTGCCCCTTTAGATTGAGCCTACTCTTCCATTCCTGTTGGACCCTTGGAGCCCTTGAGTTGTGACACCTGCTTTCACTGAGGCAAAAATCTACTTTCCATTTGGTAAATTGGTGACAGTTTAATACATAAGAATATTTTGCCTCTTTTGAACACAAATGATTATGAAACGAATTTCTGGTATCTTATGTTACTTTCCTGGATTCCACCCCCATAGTCTACTTAACATAAAATCTTAAAAAATATACTAGTCGTACTACCTAGGATCAAAGGCTAATAACATTAAATCTAGAAGTACCATATAGCAAAAATGTCAAGATGAAATCTAGATCGGGTTTGTAATGACTACATTCATATATTAATGATAATTAGCAGTTTCTTAAAGCTTCATATTTTATATAATTTTTTATTGCTATCTGTCTTTTCAGAGCTTTATTGAGAATTAGGATATTATGACTTTGGTTGGTGTTAGTGGAATGAACTGCAGATGACAGTATTATTAACATAAACAAAATGGGAATGTTATGGTTTGGGATGTTAACAGAGCAAAACACTGGTCAGATGTGAGTTAATATGTTCAAATGTTTTCATATCTTTTACCACACTTAAAGTTATTTTGTCTATAGGGAATTATCTAGTTATTATGTTTGTGACGTAAACTTTACCTATTTAGTGTTTGTGTCTTATGCATTGACATGTACTAACACGTTTGCAGGAGCATGTGAGTAGTCATGCACATACACTACAAATTGGTAAACTATATTGAAGTCTAGATTTCATGAATTATTACCAATCATTCTGAAGTTTTGCCTTCTTTGCTTAATTGATATCTTTCTAGTGTTGTCTGTGTTGGTGGAGATGGATCTGCTAGTGAAGTAGCCCATGCTTTGCTTCTGAGAGCCCAGAAGAATGCTGGGATGGAAACAGACCGAATCCTGACACCTGTCAGAGCACAGCTTCCACTTGGCTTAATACCAGCAGGCAAGGGAGTGGCTACAGATTCATTAAACTGACGCTTTTCTCTCACTTCCTTTCTTACTTCCTAACACCTAGAGAGCATAACACAGAGTTAATGAACAGACTTTGAAAGATCCAGACTTCTGGCATCCCCACTATCAAATGTGAGATTCATGACAAGTCATTTAATCTCTTAGAGGCTTATTTTTCTCATCTGTAGAATAGGGATCACACATATATAATTCACTTTATCACAAGGTTATTGTAGTACTAACCTTTGGGTTAGTAAAGGGTTTAATATATAGTTAAACTTTCAGTATATGGAATGGTTATTCTTCTCCCTTCCCATAAGATGGTATAATGATTACACAGTACCAGGTAGGAGGTTTCAAAACAGGGCCACTCCAGTCTAGCTGCTTATAATTCCATATGAGATGAATATGGTAACTTGCATAATTGAAGTATAACCAGATAACCTTGAGAATGCCAGGATTACTTGTGACTGGAAGAAGGATAAGGTTTGGAAGGGTGTGATTCTTAAGGGTGAGGCATTTTATCTTTTCACTCACTGCCATTTCTTCAGCACCTAGAATAGACTATGCCACAGTGATGCTCAGTGAAGCCTATTAAGTGAATGAATGTAAACAAGACTTCATATAGTAAATGACACTTGAATTAGGTCTTAAAATGGGTTGGAGCTGGCCTGAAAAGGTGACAATGAGTTATTTTCTTGGCTGCAAAAATAATAAAACAAAGGCAAAACCCAGGAGTGTTTGAGGACTAGTGAAAAGGCCATTCAACGGGAGATAATGGTATCAAAATAGACCCAACCATGGAGGCTCCTGCATGCCACAGTAATTGCTCTGAATTGTATTTGATAAGCAGTAGGAAATAATGGGATATTTCAGAGCAGGGGGCAACCTGATTGGAGCTTGTTCTAGGAGGGTTCATTTTGCCTTAGTGTGTGGAACGATTAGAGGATGGGGGCAGGAGAAAATAGAGGTCAGAGATAGAGAGAACCATTAGAGCAATACTGTGGTTCAGAAAAGAGGAAAACATCATTCAAAAGTTGATTGTATTATACAGTCACTCATCCCAAATTATTTAAATAAATGATAGTGAAGGAAAGTATATTTTCATTTAAAAAGTCACACATCACTAAAAACAGAATATTTTTCCCTATGATAATAGAAAATAAGGAAAAAAATTATATTTTGATAACCCTATTCATTTTGTATGGATTTTAGTAAATTTAGTCTTTTTGATAAATTAACAGAGGACAGGATATCCAAATACCCTTTTAGAGTATAAAGTCTTTCTGAAAAGCCAGAATTTAAAAGGAGGGAGATATTCAAATATATTCTGATAATTGTGGAGTATAGGAAAACCTCAAATGGTTTCTAAGTAGACGTCAAAAAGATGATTTTAACACAAAGAGAAAAAAATGTATTTTGGGCTATCTTTTCATGACATTTTATTTCTTGACGTTGTTGTTTTACTTTAGTAATTCTGAATATAATGGTGGAACCTTTCCAACATTTCCCTCCATGCCAAGTGGATGTGCTTAGGACACTGTTTGTCTTCCTTAATACTTAAATTCCCAAGGTCATTCCCTGACTGCCTTACATCAGAAATAGAAAGATAGGTGTCCCTACAGGTGAGCATTTGACATAAATTGGGTAGCTGCCTATAAAAAACTGGTGGTTATGTTTATGTTTTTTGTATGTAATTTGGATGTTATAAAGGAATAACATTGAGTTTTATCACTATTATAATTTTTAAGAGTATTTCTGGTTTGAGGAGCATTTTATGTGTTCTTTGGATGTTTGTAGTAATGCTATTTTAACAAGTCTTATTTAAAAGACACAGTATGCTGCCAAAACTCTGGTCATTGTATAGGAGTTCTAGCATTCTAATTCCTTCTAATAGGAGGAGAAAGTCATGTGTGGGATATATTTAATATGAGGACTCTATGCCTAGTCAGGGCTTTACATAGAGAATGGGAACAAGAACTAGGCAGGAAGTTTTCAAGCTGAACATGAGACAGTCTGCCTTTGAAGCCATTTGCCTCCTGGAGAGAGACACCCAGAGGGAGAGTGTTTAGTAAATTAATCCACTGTGCCAACAGACTAAGCCGCTGAATTATGGTCAGACTCAAATGGATCAGATGTGGGGAAGCCTGTATTTGAACTGCTGGCCATTAGGAATGGTGTTTGTTGCTATGGGAACTGGTGCTAAGGAACTATACTGAGAGACTCTGATTAAATGGGGGAGGGGGAATGGAGAAAAGCTGAGAGGACATAAAAATAAAAAAGCAATCCAGTTGTTGTAAAACAAGGCTCAATCCACATACTGATGGCTGTGAACCATATATTCCTATAGAGTTTGCGTAAATACATTCATGCTTTCCAATTAATTTGAGGAGAATAAAATATTGCCGAGGGACTGTTAATTTCTATGATATTTCAGGCAGAGAACCAAAGTGTAGGTGCCATTTTCATGAGAATTTTAGATATGCTTGACTAGGAAGTCATTACATCACATTTATCTGTTTGGATGTGGGAGACATTAACAACCTTATGAATATTCATGGTGTCTGGTTAATTAAGTTAATTGTTCTGCAGAAGTGCTTGCACTTCCAAGGACGATTTTTTTTTCCTTTTTTTCTTTTTGCCTCTGCAGTTTCTGCCTGGTATTTCATCAGTAATTCTTTACATGAGCTGCTACTTCTGTCCTTACTTTTTGTATTTGGAACATTTTAGCAGCTCTGGGGAGGGAGTGGTGGGCAAAGTTTCTGGTAGTGTTAAGAAAAATAACTTTCAGGCTAATTAAAATGTTTACCTTGAGGTAGAACATTTATAGCTTTTGTGAGAACATTAAAATTACACCATTGTTATTTATGTGAGCAGCATGTTCTTTTGGCATGTAGACATCTTTTCAAATAGAGTGCAATTTCCTGAAACAAAATGTAATCCATCTTTCAGATTATCCCAACAAAATATAGAACAATCTATCATTTTGCAATTTTACATACACTTTCTCATAAACTTTCTTTTTTTCTTCAGAGTGTCAAAACCACATTTAAAGACTAAGGTACAGATTAATGAGTAGTCAATGACTAAAATAATTTTCCTACTTCTAGTCATGTCTGTTATCCCTGCCAACTTCTACAGAATTAGAGAAAAGTTGCAAAGCCTGAGAGGACATAAACATTTTTTAAAGCCATCTTTAGCATTCTAAAAAGAAATTGTACTTGGGCATACTCAGCGTACTTCAAACTCACAGGGAATAAACAGTCTTTATTTTCTTAAGTCATGCTATGTGTCATTCTCTATTGTACATGATATTATGTTTTTAAATAATCTTTCTAGAGGACTGCTTTTATGGTCTACTCCTAATTAACCGTGGTAATGGAAGAAATTTGTTTCATGGAGTACTGTAATCCATGATAATCCTAAATATCTCACTCTAAGTATGTGTCCTCTTCCAAAACCTTTACCACAAATCTGATTGGGAAGCACAATGGATTGACTTGTTTCATCCTTTCTTACCAATCCTTTCCAGATTTATTAGCAATTATATGGTCAAAGGCCAGACTTGAGGGCCGCAAGATCACCGGAAAGGCCTGGATAAAGAGCCACAGAGTAACAGGTTTCTATACTACTTGTTCTCAAAACTTAGGGTTCATAGACTCACCTTGTGAACTTGCTAAAACAGAGACACCTGGGTCTTCCCTTGTCCACACACATTCCGATTTTATGAGTTGAAGGTAGAACCAAGCTGACCTAATCTGAAAACCTAAACTCCAAAATGCTACAGAATTAGAAATTTTTGAGTGCCAGCATGATGCCACAACTGGAAAATTCCACACCTCATGTGATGGGTAGCAATCAAACTGCAGTCACAACTTTGTTTCATATAAAAACATTTAAATATTATGTAAAATTATCTTCAGGCTATATGTAAAAGATGTATAAAATTAAATTTATGTGTAGACTTGGGTTCCATCCCCCAGATATCTCATTATGTATATACAAATACCTGAAAAATTGAAATCTGAAACACTTCTGGATTTTAGATCATGTTTTCTTCTAGTAGTTTTATGGTTTCAGGTCTTACATGTATGTCTTTAAGCTTTTTGAGTTGTTTTTTTTTATATAGTGTGAGATAAACTTCTAATTTTATTTTTCTGCATGTGGCTATCTAGTTCTTTCAATACCGTTTTTTGAAGACTGTCCTTTCACAATTAAATTTTCTTGACATTTTTGTTGAAAATCAGTTGGCCATAAATACTTGGGTTTATTTCCAGGGTCTGTATTCAGTCCCAGTTGTCTATGTGTCTGCTTTTACGCTAGTACCATGTTTTGATTGCTATTTTGGTGTATATTTTGAGGTCAGGTATTGTAATGCCTCTATACTGGTTTGGTTTCTTGGGTTTTTTATAGTTCCATGGAACTTTTATATGTTTTTTTCTATTTCTGTACCCCCCCCCCCCAAAAAAGCCTTTGGAATTGTGATAGGGAGTGCATTGAATTTGTAGATTGCTTTGGGTGGTATGAAAACTTTAACAAGTTATAAACTTATTATAACTTATAACAAAACTGCCACTTATAAGTGAGAACATGTGATGATCTTTTTTTTTTGAGACAGAGTTTCGCTCTTGTTACCCAGGCTGGAGTGCAATGGCGTGATCTCGGCTCACTGCAACCTCTGCCTCCTGGCTTCAGGCAATTCTCCTGCCTCAGCCTCCTGAGTAGCTGGGATTACAGGCATGCGCCACCATGCCCAGCTAATTTTTTTTTTGTATTTTTAGTAGAGACGGGGTTTCAGCATTTGTGTCATCTTTAGTTTCTTTTATCAATATTTTTAGTTTTCAGTGTACAGGCCTTTCAAGTTTTTGGTTAAATTTCTTGTTACATATTTTTAAGTTCTGGAATACATGTGCAGATTTGTTACGTAGGTATACATGTGCCATGGTGGTTTGCTGCACCTATCAACCTGCTATCTAGGTTTTAAGCCTCACATGCATTAGGTATTTATCCCCCTCCCCTGACAGGCCCCGGTGTGTGATGTTCCCCTCCCTTTGTCCATATGTTCTCATTGTTCAACTGCCACTTATAAGTGAGAACATGTGATGTTTGTTTTTTTGTTCCTATGTTTGCTGAGAATGACAGAGCTTCATCCGTGTCTCTGCAAAGGACATCAACTAATTCTTTTATATGGCTGCATAGTATTCCATGGTGTATATGTGCCACATTTTCTTTATTCATTCTGCCATTAATGGGCATTTAGTTTGGTTCCAAGTCTTTGCTATTGTGAATAATGCTGCAATAAACATATTTGTGCATGTTTCTTTATAGTAAAATGAATTAACTTTGGATATACATCCAATAATGGGATTGCTGGTCAAATGGTATTTCTGGTTCTAGGTCCTTGAGGAATTGTTATACTGTCTTCCACAATGGTTGAACTTATTTACATTCCCACCAACAATGTAAAAGTGTTCTTATTTCTCCACAGTTTTGCCAGCATCTGTTGTTTCCTGACTTCTTAATAATTGCCATTCTGACTGACATGAGATGGTATCTCATCATGATTTTGATTTGCATTTCTCTGATGATCAGTGATATTTAGCTTTTTTTCATGTTTGTTAGCCACATAAATGTCTTTTGTGAAATGTCTGTTCATACCCTTTGCCCACTTTTTGATGAGGTCGTTTTATTTCTTGAAAATAAGTTTAAGTTCCTTGTAAATTCTGGATGTTAGACCTTTGTCAGATAGAGAGATTGTAAAAAATTTTCGTCCATTCTGTAGGTTGCCTGTTCACTCTGATGACAGTTCCTTTTGCTGTGCAGGGATTGTTTTCTCGATTTCTTTTTCAGATAGTTGTAAGTGTGTAGAAATACTAATGATTTTTGTATGTTGATTTTGTGTCCTGCAGCTTTACTGAGTTTGTTTATTAGCTCTGATGATTCATTTATGGATCCTTTAGGGTTTCTTAAATAAGATCATGCCTACAAACAGAGGCAATTTAGCTTACAACTTTATGATTTGGAAGACTTTTATTTCTTTCTCTTGCCTAATTGCTCTGGCTAGAACTTCCAGTACTATTTTATTTCCATGGAAAGTTTATACCCATTTTCAAACTGGAGAAAATGGGTATAATGTCTTCTTGAGGAAGAAGAAATTGTTTCTCAACTCACGAGAGTCACATTTTAATAAGTACTCAAGTATTGTCATTCCTGCTTGACAGTAGGTCATATTTTGAGTAACAGAGGTCATAGCATAACTTGCCTTTTGGTGAATCAGTTGGAACCAGTTTGGCAATTTGTTAAAATAAACTTTGCATTGGTATTATTAGAAATCTGGTTTAATTATGCTTATTTATTAATAATAAATATGTTTATTAATTCTTAGGTACCTAATAAAATTATGATTTTAGTGATCTCTTGGTTGATAATGGCTAAGCTACCTCAGCTTCTCCAATTTAGCAACCGAAATACATATCAGTTCAAAGTAACAAATTAAAGCAATTATATATGATCACATAGGAATGCTTCTAATTAACAAAATCCAGAGGACTGGCCTTTGCCTTGATAACTGGAACACACTGCATCCATGCTTTCACAGCTCTCAGCTATTATTGGACTTCCTTGTCATATTCTTTCATTCAAGGAAAATTGTAGCTTCATTCATTCTATTCTCAATAATTTTAAATTCTCTTTAGCCTCCTGGGAATGAGAGGGGCTAGCTGGTATTTCCCCCTCTATCTCATATTTCAGTTGCACGTAAACATTAAAGGGGCCTGACTTGGGGAGCTTTTTGCCTCTGTAGACTGGTGGGGAAAATACAGGTGTCTTAAATTATTCTAATGATCATAAAAATCAGAATCTTCATATGTGGGAAATACCATGGAATTAAACATTTTCTTCAATGTAGGAGACATTTGTTAGATAATAGAGGGAATTCTCATTAGGCTAAGAGCTTCTAATATTCATTAAATGTATTTAGAGTATATCTTTTGTGGTTTATAGTTATTTTATAATTTTTCTCAGTTATTGTTTGGGTTATTTTCTTTTTTATTTATGTTTGCATTTGTCTCTGTTCTCGAGAGGCACCCTTTTGCTGTTGATCCTCATTTTGATATAGAAGCTAAAAACCCATTCGTTAAGGTTGGATGAAGTGAGCTTTGATACAGCTAGCATTTGAAAGGTAGAAAATAGACATCCATAATTTTAAAAAGCTGTTAAGCAGACACTATAAACTATTTAAATTTCTAAATTAATAATCAACAAATAATTGTGCAGACATTTGATATGCATCTATACTGTGAATGAGAACTTAAACTTCCACTAATATTTTCATTAACTTTTCTGATTATAAATTTTCATTTATTTTTCATCTCAACATTGCAGAATGACATCTATATAAAATAAGAGCAAATGGTAATTTAAACACATTCTACCCTGATAGTGCATGTTTTAAAATTGCTTTGGCAGGATCTACCAATGTATTGGCACATTCTCTTCATGGAGTTCCTCATGTGGTAACTGCAACATTGCACATTATAATGGGTAAGAATTCTTCCAAAGTAGTTCATATTTTATAAGCAAATTTTGATTTATGTAAGGAAGGCTATCTTATTTCCATCAGACTTTAAGGAAAGGCGGGTTCTTTTTCTCTGAAAGTAGACAAATGTTTGACCAGAAAACCAAAAGGCAATGCTTAACTATTTGGACTGCCTATCTTTTCAAAATACTTGCCTTGTAAAGAGTAGTAAATGAAGTTTTACTATAATCTCTATAGAAAAAAAATACTGTAGTGATGCTCAAAACAATAATTTTATAACCAGATTAAGAAAATTAATGCATATTCCTTAAGTATATCCAACACCGATGTCAGATTTACCAAGACTCTAAGACTAGGATTATGTTATAAATGAAAAAAACATACAGGAAAATAATTTCAGCCAGTATATGTCTGTAGATATTTTATTATCCCAATTGGTAGAAAGTGTATAAGCTCAGGTATATGTAATGCAAAACTACTGTTAAATCGAAGTTTTCTTTGCCCATCTACTTTAACTTCATTTCTTTGACCATGTTTTATAGGAAATAGCAATAAGCTGAAAAATTTACTACTCTTTCTTTACTAATACCTGAACATCCTCACTTTACTAATACCAGAACAAGGTATTAGTAAAGTGAGGATGTTCATGGTCTACAGTACCTTGAGATATTCTCCTATAAGTCAATAAATATGCTCTCTTATGTTTGCTGTTTTGATACAAGTCCTACTGTACTCACTGCTAATATAATATTCAAGGGCATGTACAGCTGGTCGATGTCTGCACCTTTAGCACCACTGGAAAGCTTCTTCGCTTTGGGTTCTCAGCCATGTTTGGCTTTGGTGGAAGAACTTTGGCTCTGGCAGAAAAATATCGATGGATGTCCCCTAACCAAAGGAGAGATTTTGCTGTCGTTAAGGCACTGGCAAAACTTAAGTAAGTCTTTTTCTTAAACCCAAAATTTTGTATCCCAGAGTCAATGACTGTTAATAGCAAATTTTATTATATTTTAGGCCAGAAGACTGTGAAATATCATTTTTACCATTTAACAGCTCTGATGATGTGCAAGAAAGGCAAGTAAAAACTCAGTGTAACACAGATAACCTGTATCTTTCTTTAAAGATTCTGACATAAACAATTGATCAGACTTAGGATCTTTGATTATTTTTCTCACACAGTACTAAAGAATATAGAATTACAGACTCCTACAGATCCTAGTAAGCAAACAACCACTCATCAGCCTTTTTCTCTTTTTCCCCTCCCTCTTTTTCTTTCCTTTCTTCCTTCCTTTTCCTTTCCTTTTTTTCTCTTTACTTTCCTTTTCTGTTTTCCTTTCCCCTTCCTTTCACTGTTTATTGAGTGACTACTATATGCCAGGCACTCTGGATACAACAATGCACCAAAAAATGAACAAAACACAGTTTCGTTCCTCATGAGAGTTTTGGTCTAGTATGTAATACAAATATTAATCAGAGTTATATTAAAAAATGGTTATAGTATTTAAAGAAATAGAAAATTATTGTTCCTTATAATACTAGTTTACCTTTAAAAGAATCAACATATTATAATGTTGGCAGCAACAAAATTGTACACATAGTTTTACTATCTAATTAAGAAAGGAGGAGAGAGGGGACTCAAGATGGCGCTGTGAGAACAACCCAGGATTGGAGCCCGTGTTGAATTCGCAAACGGTGAGTCAGTGCTGCATTTCCAGACTGATCTTTGTTGCCCACAGAACGGGGAAACTCCCAAGTATAAAAAGACACGGGACGCCAGGCAGTAGGTCTGCCTGGCGAAGCCGGCAGCCGGGGCGGCGGCGGCCGGCCCTACCCAGCAATCCCCACAGGGCGCGCTTGCCCGGGTGCCTTGTTGAACTGGCAACCTGAGACTTGAGAGGGCTGGACTTGAGACTGAACGAGACTTGCACAGTAGCCCAGCCCAGGGGATTGCAGGGACAGATCGTTTGGGATACCCAGTGGGACGAACAAAACCGCGATTTCAAACTATCCTGGGCAGACGGTCCGAGACGCTCTGTGGGGGAGGGGCGTCCACCACTACGGAGGCAACCGGCCCCAACTGATATACACGCCCACTGCTGAGGCAGCCAGCCATTGCCGAGGCAACCCGCCCCAACTGAGATACACGCCCACTGCTGACGCAGCCAGCCGTTGCCGAGGCAACCCGTCCCTACTGAGATACACACCCACTGCTGACGCAGCCTGCCGTTGCTGAGGCAACACGCTACAACAAAGAGACTCTGCCGCAGGGCGTGGCGGAGACCACAGCAGAGCCGGCAGGAACAGCGCAAATCACACAACAGCAGGGCGGAGCCTCGGCAGCCAAACAGTGGCTAGTCTGCCTTTGAGCTGGGCAGGACACCTGATCGGACATCCAAAAATAAAGCCCAAACCCCTCAACACAGAGCATTTGAGAAAAAAAAAAAGGTTGTTTAATGAGCTGTGTTGCAGCAGAATCAAACATAGCAGCCTAACAGCCCTGAATGAACAACAGAGTGCACAGCTCAGCAATTAAACCCCTATAAAGTACAAACTGTCTCCTCAAGCAGCTCCCTGACCCCTCTATATCCAAAAGACTGTCATTAGGCAGGCATCATCCTGGGACAAAGAGAGCAGAAAAAGAAACTGGTAGCATCCCTCGCTGTGCCACGGCTACTAGAGGTGCACCCCAGACAAGCAGGGTCTGGAGCGGACCTCAACAGTCGTACAGCGAAGGGGCTAGACTGGTAGAAGGAAAACCAAGCAACAGAAATACTTCATCATCAACATTCTGGGTGTCCACTCAGAGACCCAAACGAAAAGTCAGCAACTACGCAGACAACCAGCGGACAAATCCACAAAGATGGGAAGAAACCAGCGCAAAAAGGAGGAAAACACCTGAAACCAGAACACATCGCCTCCTAGAAAGGACCAAAACTCCTCACCAGCAAGGGAACAAAGCTGGACGGAGAATGACTGTGACAAAATGACGGAATTAGACTTCAGAAGATGGATAATGAGAAACTTTTGTGAGCTAAAAGATCATGTATTAAATCAATGCAAAGAAACTAAGAACCTTGAAAAAAGATTTGAAAAAAGATTCGAGGAAATGATAAAAGAATGGATACCTTAGAGAGGAATATGAATGAATTAAAGGAGCTGAAAAACACAATACGAGAACTTCGTGAAGCAAACGCAAGTTTCAATAGCCGAATTGACCAAGCAGAAGAAAGAATATCTGAAGTCGAAGACCAACTCAATGAAATAAAACGAGAAACCAAGATCAGAGAAAAAAGCGCAAAAAGGAATGAACAAAGTCTCCAAGAAATGTGGGACTATGTGAAAAGACCTAACCTACGTTTGATAGGTGTACCAGAAGGGGACGAAGAGAATGAATCCCAGCTGGAAAATACTCTTCAGGACATCATCCAGGAAAATTTCCCCCACCTAGCAAGACAAGCCAACACTCAATTGCAGGAAATACAGAGAACACCACAAAGATATTCCGCAAGAAGAGCAACCCCAAGGCACATAATCGTCAGATTCAACAGGGTTGAAATAAAGGAGAGAATACTAAGGGCAGCCAGAGAGAAAGGTCGGGTCACCCACAAAGGGAAGCCCATCAGACTCACAGCAGATCTCTCGGCAGAAACACTACAAGCCAGAAGAGAGTGGGGGCCAATATTCAACATTCTTAAAGAAAAGAACTTTCAACCCAGAATTTCATATCCAGCCAAACTGAGCTTCAGAAGTGAAGGAAGAATAAAATCCTTTGCGAACAAGCAAGTACTCAGAGATTTTGTCACCACCAGGCCTGCTTTACAAGAGCTCCTGAAAGAGGCACTACACATAGAAAGGATAAATCAGTACCAGCCATTCCAAAATCACACTGAATGCTAAAGAGCTTCAACATAATGAAGAATCTACAACAACTAACAGGCAAAACAGCCACTTAGAATCAAAATGGCAGTATCAAATTCACACATAACAATATTAACCCTAAATGTAAATGGACTAAATGCACCAATCAAAAGACACAGACTGGCAAATTGGATAAAAATCCAAAACCCATCAGTGTGCTGTATCCAGGAAACCCATCTCACATGCAAGGATACACAAAGGCTCAAAATAAAGGGATGGAGGAAGATTTACCAAGCTAATGGAAAGCAAAAAAAAGCAGGAGTTGCAATTCTCATCTCTGATAAAATAGACTTTAAAACAACAAAGATCAAAAGAGACAAAGAAGGCCATTACATAATGGTAAAAGGATCGATACAACAAGAAGAGCTAACGATCCTAAACATATATGGACCCAACACAGGAGCACCCAGATACATAAGGCAAGTTCTTAATGACTTACAGAAGGACTTAGACTCCCACACAATAATAGTGGGAGACTTTAACACTCCACTGTCAATACTAGACAGATCAACCAGACAGAAAATCAACAAGGATACCCAGGGCTTGAACTCAGACCTGGAGCAAGCAAACCTGGTGGACATTTACAGAACTCTCCACCCCAAATCCACAGAATACACATTCTTCTCAGCACCACATCACACCTACTCTAAAATTGACCACATAATTGGAAGTAAAGCACTGCTCAACAAATGCAAAACAACCGAAATCATAACAAACAGCCTCTCAGACCATAGTGCAATCAAGTTAGAACTCAGAATTCAGAAACCGACCCAGAACCGCACAGCTTCATGGAAACTGAACAACTGGCTCTTGAATGTTGACTGGGTAAACAACGAAATGAAGGCAGAAATAAAGAAGTTCTTCGAAACCAATGAGAATGAAGACACAACGTGCCAGAACCTCTGGGACACATTTAAAGCAGTCTCTAGAGGAAAGTATATAGCAATAAGTGCCCATATGAGGAGAAAGGAGAGACCCAAAATTGACACCCTATCGTCAAAATTGAAAGAGCTAGAGGAGCAAGATCAAAAAAACTCAAAACCCAGCAGAAGACAAGAAATTACTAAGATCAGAGCTGAGCTGAAGGAGATTGAGACACGAAAAACCCTTCAAAAAATCAATAAATCCAAGAGCTGGTTTTTTGAAAAGATCAACAAAATAGACCACTAGCCAGATTGATTAAAAATAAAAGAGAGAACAACCAAATAGATGCAATAAAAAATGATAAAGGGGAAATCACCACAGATTCCACAGAAATTCAAACCATCATCAGAGAATATTACAAACAACTCTATGCACATAAACTAGTAAACCTGGAAGAAATGGATAAATTTCTGGACTCCTGTGTCCTCCCAAGCCTAAACCAGGAGGAAGCTGAAACTATCAATAGACCAATAACAAGGTCTGAAGTTGAGGCAGCAATTAAGAGCCTACCTCACAAAAAAGCCCAGGTCCAGATGGGTTCACAGCCGAATTCTACCAGACACACAAGGAGGAGCTGGTACCATTCCTTCTAAAACTATTTCAAACAATCCAAAAAGAGGGAATCCTTCCCAAATCATTTTATGAGACCAACATCATCCTGATACCAAAACCCGGCAGAGACCCAACGAGAAAAGAAAACTTCAGGCCAATATCCATAATGAACATAGATGCAAAAATCTTCAATAAAATATTGGCAAGCCGATTGCAACAGCAAATCAAAAAACTTATTCATCATGATCAAGTAGGATTCATCCCGGGGATGCAAGGCTGGTTCAACATACGCAAGTCTATCAATGTAATTCACCACATAAACAGAACCAAAAACAAAAACCACATGATTATCTCAATTGACGCAGAGAAGGCATTTGACAAAATTCAACAGCCCTTTATGCTAAAAACCCTCAATAAACTCGGTATCGATGGAACGTATCTCAAAGTAATAAAAGCTATTTATGACAAACCAACAGCCAATATCATACTGAATGGGCAAAAACTGGAAGCATTCCCTTTGAAATCTGGTACTAGACAAGGATGCCCTCTCTCACCACTCCTATTCAATATAGTACTGGAAGTTCTAGCCAGAGCAATCAGGCAAGAAAAAGAAATAAAAGGTATTCAAATAGGAAAGGTGGAAGCCAAATTGTCTCTTATTTGCAGACGACATGATAGTA